AAAGAATGGAGCAGTACCAAGTTAAGTCCAGCATGGGGCAGTATTGGACCATTACAAGGCCCCATTGACTCTCATTATTTGAACTTTGGAATAAAAATGAAAGGCAGCAGAACGAAGAAAAATATCTTTTAGTATCTGCTCCTTTTTAAAGAATAAATTTAAACAATAATAATTTATAAAAAAAAAACTAAACTAAAACAAACAAATTTTTATAGTTTTGTTCAACGTTAGGGAACACCAACACGATTACTCCAAGTAAATCAACCTCCTGTGAAATCAAACTGTCCACTTAGGAAGTAACACTGATTGACAAACAATTTCACAAGCTGTCAGCACATTCAACTTTGTTTAGAAAAAAATATTACTTCATTCATTCAGATCTAGGACTTTTTACTTTTTTGAGCAGTTGTTAAACATGGCTAACAGCATGTAGCTAAGCCTTAATGCTAAATCACGTTCTTGCTCAATTTTTATTATGTTTGGCTTATCCGGTCCAAGCTACACCACTTTAAGTTTCTCCTCGTATGTTCTGCTTTGAAAAGGTTTAGAAATAAGAGACTTAACGGTGTTGTTTTCTTTTTCATTCCCATTTGTTTTTCTCCAAAATCCGCCTCCTGAATGCGGGCTGCCGCATTAATATGATGTTGCGTCGTCGACAGGGTGCACCCCATAGAAATGAATACGAGAGGTTAGCTGCGGGGCTGTGACAAGCTGCGCCACAGGCCATCCTATTATTTTTGCATTGAGAACTTACTGCGCATGTCCAAAATCTTCACGAGTTGCGTATGGGACTCTGGGGTGCCGAACCGTTCGTGAACCAGAAGTGACTCAACAAGAAAAAGCTCATAAGTAAAATGGAAGTTTACACATCAATAACTCTAAATTATTTATTTTGCTTATGAGAAAACATATGCACTATATTTTTTCGAAACATTTATAATGTTTTATTTAGTTATTTTATTTATTTTTAAATTTTTTTGTGTACAAAAAGCTAGTGGTGGGGCGGCGCCCTAACTCCCCCTATTGACCAGCCGCCACTGTTCTTCTGTCTCTCGATGAAATCCTAGACCCAGTCGATGATCATGGTTCTGTTTGGGTCTAACGTCACTTCCAGGACTCTGTTTTCGTCTTCACGTTGATGATGGTTGGATAGGCCGTGTTTGGGTTTGGCTTGCTGCAAAAAAAATGGACTGAAGCCCATCAGACAGTTCCCTCATGACTGATTAGTATCTGATTTGTATTTCTCAATAATAAGGACATTATTAAACTGCCATCCTTCAGCTGTTCAGGGAACAAACTGCCTTCTGCTACAACCAGGTATTTCAGATTTGATATCGTCAGTCCAAAGCACCTGTTGAGACTTTAGTGTGCTCCACTTCTTCTGTTTATTAGAGTACTTGAATGATTTGGCCTTGTTTCTATGTCAGAGGCCCGTTTTTCTCAGACATCTCCAGACAGGAAATACGTGTAAATGGGACCCACAGGTTTCTGCCAGTTCAGACCCGATGGCCCTGCTAGACATATTCTGATTTTGAAATGGAAGTGAGCATGTCGTCTGTCTTTCATTCTTCAAAAGAACTGGAGAAACRTATTGGACCCTGACTACTTTAAAATCTAAATAAAGAAACCTTTCGTTGTCAAGATCAGCCACATCACACTGTTTGACCTCTGACATAAAATTCTTTCACAGCCTCACCTTGGTAGCAGAGTTTGTATGTTCTTTACTTGGGTTTGAGTCTCGTAAGCTGTTTCTGTTCCAGACGGTGCTTCAACCTGTAACCTAGCTCCTATTTAGTGTAGCTCAGGGGTCGAGAAGGGGTTATCTGCGGAATCAAAGTGAGCGTGTCACAAGAGTGGGCGTGTCAAAAGCATAAACACTGTGGGCTACAAGGCCTACATGACGGTATCCTTAGATCCTGCTTGATCTCTTTACAGCCTGACCCCAACACTGAGTTTCACCAGGAGAAATGTGACCCAAGTAGGGT